CCCCCCCCCCCCCCCAAAAAAATCACATATTTTTTCGCACAACCCGCATTAAAAGATTATTTCTGCCAAAAATCACACACTCAATTTCAGAATGTGTAAAAATTTCACCTTTTGGAAAAATTGCAGTTTTGAGATGAAATCATTATGACTAAAACGCGGGTCATTAAGTGATAATGCAGAAGCATGATTCAAAATTTTCAGATCGTAATGATGTTCTATTAAAAATAAATTCAAAAGTTTGAAAATTATGTGTAATTCCTAGACTGTTGAAATGTGATCAATAAAACCAAGTGGACAATAAAAGGTCGCAAATCGAGTGCAACAAAAAGTAATTCTACAAATGTGCTATTCTAAATTTCTAGTGTATGATAATGTAGCATTAAAAAACTATGAAAATTGACTGCATTAACTGACAAAAATGAGATCAGAAATCCACATTGGAAACTCTCTTGGAAAACTACACAACCACATGGAAACTAACACTCTTGGAAAACTAACTAACAGAACCACATTGGAAAACTATTGCCAAAACCATGTGGATTCATTGTGAAATTGTCGCTAATCGAGTGGATCGTAAATTTTTACTAACTGAAACATGTGATTTAGAATTTGCGGTAATGAAGTATTGAAATATTGATATTTTATAAACCATGTGGAAATCTGTAACAAAAGCTGTGAAAATAGTTCAGATACACAGATTTATTCGTTGTTGGTTGAAATTGATGTTAATTATTGTATATTTTTTATTGAATATGCATCTTTTGATGTTAGTTTACCTTAAAAACCTATTATCTGGAAAAATCTATTTAACAGACTTGCTGAAGTCCCAACTATTCCGAGTGTAGATCTTTCCACTGTAATCATAAAATTCTTTTATCCAAAGATAATTCGAAGCAAAGAATAGCTTTTAGTAAATATTCATAATTTTTTGTAATTTTATTTAGTAACAGGATAATAAAGTTATGCCGGTTGGTTCATTTATTTTTTTCAGCACTGTATATAACCTGTAAGTGTTTATTATGCTTTTTATTAAGATCTAAAATTTTTAAAAATTTATTTCTCATATTATTTATGTGTTATTTTTGATACCATACATTAGTTATTGCCTGTTTTCTGTTTGCAGAAATGTAGTCTGATTGAAGTTCTCTAAAAGAGGGTTAGCTTAAGTTCCTTCTTTGTTTATTTAATTTCTTCCTCATTGGCATAGTCCTGAATGAGCCCAGGTCTACAGCAGAAATTTTACCATTCTCCTCTGTTTTTTTGTGACTGTTTTCTAGTTTTTTAATTCTTAAAATATTCAAGGTCTTTTTTTGACACATTAAAGCCATCTCAGGATTGCTATGAGGTCTAGTACGCATGGGCTTTGCCAGAAAGACTTGCATTCTGCCCAATTGACCAGCTCATTTAAGTCCTGTAATTTTATAACTTTCATAATCTATTTAATTTATTAATATTTTTCACAATAATATGAAACTTGTGTTTTTTATTGTTATTTAGGATTCAGTAACTGTTCATACGAAAATTCGGCCAAAAGATGTACCTGGAACACTTTTAAATATGGCTCTTTTAAATCTCGGCAGCTCAGATCCCAACTTAAGAACAACTGCATATAACTTACTCTGTGCCCTCACTGGAACTTTTGATTTAAAAATCGATGGACAACTCTTAGAAACATCTGGTATGTCTGTATTAAAATTCCCTGTTGCCATTATCTGTGACAAAACTTTTCTAGTTACTAATGCTGTTACATTACTATTTTTGAAAGTTCTTTTTATGCCTCTTTAATTTTTTGAATATATGAAAACTCTTTAATTACTTATGCTATTACACAGCGTTCTCACAGGTCAGGAAAAACTTGGAATTGTCAGGGAATTTTATTTTAACCTTTTGCTTACGGCTGGCACAACATGTGGACCATGTGTGATGGTACAACATGGAACACTGTAAGACAAGGGTTAACTCTAAAAATCAGGGAAAGCTGCAATTTTATTTTACGAAAACCTGGACTATTCCTATATCTTCCCTGGAAAATAAACAGTCTTAAAATTGTCCGTAACAGTAATCAGTTATTCAGATTCAAGTTAAATACAATTCTAGATTATTACAATTATTTGTTGTAAAAATTTCACATTTTAGTCAAACAGAAATGTTTCCATCTTCATTTAATGATATTTTTTTACACGGAAAATCTTCTATTGCACATAATAAATATAAGAATCAAAAGTTTTCTAATGAAAATATGGTCTCTATTTTCATTGAAATTTACCTGTTATGCCTGGAAAAGTCAGGGAATTTTTTTCTGAAATTATGTGGGATCCCTGCTGTTTAAAAGCTGCTTTAATACCACTTTTTATTTTTTTTCGTTCATGAAAATTCTTTATTTACTTATTTTTTGTATTTATGAAAACTCCTAGTTTCTAAGCTGTATTATTACTGTTTAAGAACTAATTTAGTTTTCATGTATCTTGTTTCCCTAAATTTAGATGTTGGTCCATTCCATCTTCGCATTCACATTGGTTTTAATATATATCCTATATAAGAACGATGAAGTATTTAGGCGTCATACTCGACCCAGGTCTGACATGGATACCACATTTAAATGAATTAAAAGATAAACTCACTAACTTTAATCAGGCTATTAAAAGGGTTGCCAGGGCAAAATGGGGCCTCAGACCGCAACTACTTAAAAGAATCTATCTCCAGGCAAGTGGAAGGATAATAATGTATGCCGCCAGTGTCTGGTATAGGAACAACACCAAAATAAACGAAAAGCTACAAAGCCTACAAAGAATCCCTCTTCTGACTATTACTAAAGCTTATTCTACTGTTAGCACGGAGGCTATCCAGATACTGGCGGGCGTCGTTCCTATTCAACTTAAGATAATTGAAGACATTTACATTAAAAGAGTCAAATGGGGCTGGAGACTAGAGGATATAAATTACGTATTCCCAACTAACTTTGACCATACAATGAACTTCGATAAACCAGCCCCGGAACACCCTTCAGAATATCGATCCTTGCCTTGGGGATATGATTGCCCAAAAGATCAGGACATGGAGATCTATACGGATGGCTCTAGGATGGAGACAGAACAACCTAATCACTATAAGACAGCCTTTGCAATGATTATTAAACAGAATGGTATCACAATACATAAGGTCTCCACCAGAGTCACCGACAACACAAATATCTTTTTAGCAGAACTCATGGCAATTAAAACAGCTCTAGCATGGATCAATCAACAACATATCGAATATGTAACAATCTATACTGATTCCATGTCCTCCTTACAGGCCCTGGCTGATCCAGAACCCAGTTCAAAAATTATTGAAGAAACAAAAAAACTATGGCATAACAACATTAAATTGAACTGGGTCAAAGCACATGTGGGGATCCAGGGCAATGAGGAGGCAGATGAGGCAGCCAAAAACGCCATTTGTTCTAGCACAATAGATCTCCAGGTACTGAGGACCCCAAAACAGGTTAAAACAAACATTAGAAATATCTTAACTTCAATATGGAAGAATCAATGGGAGAGCAGTAATAAGGGCCGTCAAACATTTAAATTTATTAAGACCCCGTCAGTTAAAAGATTACAAACAAATTTTTATCTGAACCAATATTTGACGGGGCACGGAGTGTTCGGGGTCTACCAAAAAAGGTTTTTTAATAAAAGTGATACCTGCAATAACTGTGAAGATATTCAAACAATTGAGCACCTACTCTTTCACTGCGACAGATTCCGGACACTCAGACAAAACCACTTCCTCGGGAGAAATGAACAACAAATTTTCGCGAGTAATACTTGCAAATCCATTATTAAAGAGATCATTAAAATTACTCTCGAGGAGACGCTGGCCCAATTTAACAACTAATTTGCTCTCCCCAATAAATATAGTTAAATACTCCTTGGACCACTTCATTTAATAATTTTACTCGTAGTATTTTAAATTTCAAACTTTTAATATATCATATTTTAAATTTTAGACCTTGTATTTACATTTTTTATGTTTTAGACATCGCTTTCCATTTTACTCAACACTTTTTAATTGTTGCTCGGCTGGTTGTTTTACACTGGTCTGTTATTGATTTTAACTGTTAATTATTCAACTTTTAAATGATTTTCTTTTTAATTTTTATACACAATTAGCTTTTATCCTTGATTCTGCATACCACCATTTTTTCAGTATTTTTAAAAACACGCTTTTAAATTTTGATTTGCAAATATTTTAAAATTTTAAATGAATTTTATAACATTTACGTCCCTTTTGGACGAATATATTTTAATGATTTTAATCTTAGGGTATATTTTATCTATACTTGTTATTTTATCAATTTTGTCTTTTTACATCTTTATCCTATCTTTTATCCACAAATAATTTTATATCTTGAAATTTTATGCATGTAAACGGCTTTGTACAGTCGATTTTTATTTTTAAACATAATGTTTTAAAATTGTAACGTTTTTAAAATTTTCATTTTACTGATTTATACAAATTTTATGTCCTTTAGGACAGGCTAGTACTAATGTGTACTTTTATCTTGTGTGTAATTCTTAACTTTTTCCTTTTACCCAGCAACTAGCTCTAGCTCTCAATTCGATCCTATTGATACCTTTATTCAACTGTAGTATCTAGTAAGTAAAAATGAGTTCGTGATGTTACAAACATTTCGTTAATATAAGGGTCTGTTGGCCTGAACGGTACAACACCAAGCACGATCAATATTGTTTTAATTTGTTTTTATGTTAAATTGTTGAACGATATGTTCAATTTTAAGGGTCCGTTGACCTTCTTTCTCATGTGTTTCAATGTTTTCGAGGCTTGTTGCCATCGCTGTTACTGTAAAATTTTTAACATTTTATTTCTATATAATTGCTGTCAAATTAAATTGTTGTTCCACTGCATTCGGCGAATGGGCCTATAGGCCTAGGCCGCTGTAAAAATTTCCTTAATATATATCCTTACTTAAAGCATTTCTTAAACGAAAATGCTTTTTAATGAATAAACCCTAACTTGGGTAGATTTTTTTAATCAGTCTTTTTCAAGAAACTTCAAAACTTTTTAAAATTGAAATGTAAAACACTTTTTATCAAAAATTGACTTATGATAAAAAAAAAAGATATTTTAGTATCAAATAGAAGTTTATTTTTTATTATTATCAGATGTCTAGTATTTTCTTCAATCGAAGCTGTTTTGTAATGTGCTTGAAATGTATATGCAGTTAGAGTAACAAATAAAGCTTGGATTTGATCTTTAAAAATTATAATAATAAATAAATAAAAATAATATAAGTCTCTTCTTTTATCTTTAAGATAATATAATTATAGTATTTAAGGAATTCTAAAGTGACTTTTCTTAGTATTGTGCATCAAGTTAAAAAGGCACCCTCAGTAAAACCATCCATTTTTTTTTTTATTTATTTATTTATTTTTTGAAAAATGAAATCTTTCTTGGCAAATACAATATTTAATAGCAAGCAATGTAATTCAATTGTTTTGGTTATCAGATTTATATCCCCTTCAATTTTTCAGCAATTAAACCTACATTACAGAAATTTATTATTGTTTTAAAAAGAATGGAAAACATCTCATAATTATTAATTGTTTAATAATAATTGTTTAAGTGTTTAAAAAAATTTTTATACAAATGTTTAGAAACAAGAAAAGGAAGCAAATTATAGGAAACTTAAATTTTTTAATTTAAGCAAACATAGTCCTAACGTAAACATCGAATAGTATCCTAGATGTCAATGGTAACAACAAGAAGAAAGATTAAAAAAATGAAAGATCAAGCTTTTGCAACAATATATATATAGATATATTTCATTGAGTTGAATTCGGTTCATTTCAGGTTATAATTTTTGTTCAGCTTGACTGTGGCGGCTCTTTGATACTCAAACCTAGTTGTTTGATTGTCCCCACTACTGAATTTTGGTACTCAAATCTGGTTTGTCATTAATTAATTTATTGTACCTACTTTGTTATTGGTTCTTCCATAAGCATTTTAATATTTGAAAATGCAGAATATGCAAAATCAGCATAACTAATTTTAAAATTTATTTTATTTTGTTTATTCCTTTGTACTGTATAGTATTTTTTCCATTAAGCATCATTATAAAAGAAATTCAAGATTTTAATTATGCCTTTAAAACACAACTTTTTATAATTTAAAAACTCTATGTAGAGATTTATTTTAATTAAATTGTAAGGATTTTTTTTTTCAAAGTCTTGGGAATTAAGTATTTATTGTTGAAGATAAAATTAGTATATAAAATTAATTAGGAAATATCTTATTTTATATTTTCTATATTATAGGATTATGCATTCCATCAAATAACACTATTTTCATCAAGCAAATCAGTGAAAAGCTTGCTCAAAATGCATCCCATTTAACTCTGGAATTTCTTGAAGAATGTATTCAAGGATTTAGATCTTCAACGATTGAACTAAAACATTTGTGTTTGGAGTATATGACTCCATGGCTTCCCAATTTAACAAGGTATCTATAAATGTTTCAAAAAGTGATTATTTCTTATTTTTTACTTTTACTTTTTTTATATATTTTTTGTGAAACAAATGTATATTACATCCTTTCGTGAAACTAAATGGATAAAAATATTTATGAAGTTAACAATTCCATTCTCCTTTGAAATTGTTAATTTTATTTTGTATAATTTATCCTATAATTGATTTTATTCAATTTTTTACTGATTTTATTATATTTTAACTATTGATAAAATCTTAAAATAGCATTGAAATGAAAAAATATTTTTTTATTTAACAGATTTTGCAAGCATAATGATGATAATAAACGTCAGAGAGTTGCCATGATTTTAGACAAATTAATTACTCTTACTATTGAAGAAGTAGAGGTAATTATTTTTAAGAATTTTATTCTTTACTTCCTATGTTTAAAAATCACCCAACTTTAATTCTGACTCACATTGTGTTTTCTTATTTTTAAGATGTATCCTTCCATACAAGCAAAGATATGGGGAAATATTGGTCAAGTATCTGATCTTCTTGATACAGTGCTTGATAGTTTCATTAAGGTAAGATACATTTAGATACTGGTTTAGTATCATTTTTAAACTCTGGCTATTACCAATGTATGATTTGTGTTGATAAAAGTCTAAATAATAAAATGATAATCAGTTATAGTGTCAAGTGATTTACATTTATACCATCTTTAGAAAAGCTGTTTTTCCCCAAAAAAAAATCATTTGTTTAGTGATTACTGATGCAGAACTAAATATAAATATCAGCTGTCTTAAACTAAATATATTATATTTCTTTTAAACATTATGATAGAAACATAGTACATTAAAAAGGTATTTTTGAATAGAGAATAAAGTAATAAGTAATAATCTTGAGTATTTAATAAAATTCATTAATAATAAGTAAAGAATTGGGGCAAGTAATAAGCCACAATTTTTCCTTATGTAGTATTTTTACTTCAAACATTTCCTTAGTATCATTTTCAGATGGGTTTTTTACAACTTTTTTGGATATCTACTTAATATTAGCTCAGTGCAAAAAATCTTATTGCCAAGAAACCTCTTCTGCGCAATATGAAAATGTGATTTATCATTATATTAATATTACCTAGAGACATATCCTAGAAGTTTTTCAAATAAGAGCATTCTTTGAATAAGACATATTAAAGGATTTTTGTTTTTATAAAGTGTGAAATTTAAATTACATAGTTGAAAAACATTTAAGTTAAGTGAATCAACAGAATTTAGATATGAATTGGGGGGAAAAAATTGCAATTCATTAGTGCAATTGTTAACATATATTACAGTAGAGAACCAATTAACCGAGATGCTCGGGACCATCGCTATCCCGGATGTCTGAATTTCCTTTTTCTCTGAATCGGCCAAAAGTGCCGTTAATCAATGTTTTATCAAACCCAAATTACAAGGAAAATAAGAAAAAAAACGAAAAGATCTCCTAAATTTTAAAAAAAATGGTAGAAATTACTGCTTTTATTAACAAATAATTATATGCTTAAATTAATAAGCAATCTTCTTCTATTTATTTTATTTTTTATAAAAGACTATTTTTAACGAAAGCAGATGTGATTCCACATCAAGAAAAATTTGCTAATGATACTGCATTTCTAAAATATCAGAATTTTTTCAAAAAAATATTGTTTTGTTAATCAATGTCAAATAGATGAATATAACTGGTGATTAAAAAACTTTTTGTTTGTAATAAATAATGCATTATCTGAAATAATAAAACAATTCATCATAATAAATCAAGGATAACAAAAACTGAGTTGCTAAATTGGATTTAAAATAAATCTCACATGTCAATACTCTTAGCCAAAAGTTTCAAGTTTCTTAACTCGGACATTCATTGATATACATGTGCAATGCATTTTCCCAACCCCCTTATATATCAAAGGGAAAACAAAGTCAGCATGCTACTCCCTTAAGTTTGATTGACGGCAGCTTATCAGAAAAACAACCAACACACAGGAGAAAATAAAACATTTGTCCCATCCCTGCCTCCTCTCAATCATCAAGGTCAGGGGAAGAGTTGAAGTTTCTCTGGGCAAACAAAGGGAAGAATTCCCCCTTTCCCTCTGCTCAACTTCAAGGATGAGTCAAATTTCCGCTTTTTTTTTATAATCACTATAGTTCAAAGTGAGAAAACCAAGCATAATTCTTCCCGGTTTTCTGGATACCGGATAAATGGTTCTCTACTGTGCAATCATCTGTCAATTTTAATTAATCAGTATATAATAAATTATTTAACTTATTCTCAATTCTCAATCTATTGTATTTATTGGTTATTTAGTGTGGAAGTTGTGTTAAAAATATTATATATTCATCAGGATCTAAATTGAGATAGAAGGGCTGATTTAATATTAGTTGTAATCCAGGGCCCGATTAACCTCTGAAAATAGGGGAAGCATAATAGGATTTTGGGGCCCCCCTAACTTGAGCAAAAGAAACTTTTGATATTTTTCGCCCATAAACAATACATTTTAAAGAGGGAAGAACCATGTGAAAACTATTAGAACCTTAGAAAGGAATACAGAGATCCTATGCAATCATGTTGGACCCTTCTTTACGTGCTTTATAAAGCACGTAAAGTAGGGTCCAACATGTATAGTAGCCAACTATATATAGTAACAAAAACATGAGGGAGTAGCTAGCACATATGTTGACAAAATTTAAATATTTCACTAAATTAAATTATAAAATTACTTGTTGTTATACGAAAGGTTCTTTGCAAGATGAGTCTCTTTTTTTATGCCAATTTTTTTACAAAACAACACAAAGCATCCCATTTATTAAACATCCCATTTTTTTTCTTTTCAAGAGTTTTTGTTGGAGTCATTTTTTTTCTTATTTCTTTTATTATTAATATTTTTTTGGCTACAAAAAATAAGAAATTGGGCCCTTAATTTCAGTCATTTGGGGGCCCCCCTAGAATTTAAAAGGGGAAGCACTTGCTTCCTGTGCCTTTTCGGTAATCAGGCCCTGTTGTAATCTCTCTGCTGGCTCTGTGATGTTCCATATTTTTCTGAGTGTGAATTTATTATGTGCACTATAATTTTGTAATAACCATTGCTCTTTTCTGCAGAGGAGTGTTACTGGTGGTTTAGGCTCAGCACAGTCCGAAATAATGGCCGACACTGCCGTAGCATTAGCGTCATCTAATGTTCAACTAGTTGCATTAAAAGTTATTAGCCGATTATGTAGAGTAAGTACCAGAATGATTCTGACTTTTTACTTGTGAAGAAGTATTTTTCAACTGAATCCTTCAAATTTTATTTTAGGTTATTGAAAAAACATGTACTTCCCCAACTCCTACACTAGAGCAACACTTGATGTGGGATGATATAGCTATCTTAGCTCGCTATCTTTTGATGCTATCTTTTAATAATTCACTTGATGGTAAGCACCTTTTAATGTAAATGTTAACTGCTGAGCTTGTTTTGAAATAGAATTAACTCGCATTTGTGTTACATGAAGAGGAAAACCTCCCAGGGTTAGCCTGATAACAAATGGATTCTAACACGTGATCCGTCTACCACAGAGGATATTTCACCTCAGCATTGTGATCAATACAATCCATGAGCAAAATTGGTAACAAATAACCACCACTGGCATTTGAACCTGGTTCACCTCATTGGGAGCTTCATCCTCTGAGCCACCGCAGCTCTAAAACCTTTTAATGTAAATGTTAGGTGCCTAACCTATCTAGGTTTACTGGTTACTGTTGTTTTCCCTCAGTTGATTTGAATGCTGAGATTTGAAAGGGCTTATTAAAATGACATTTTTTTTTATTTCTTTTTTTTTTTTTTTTAATTACTGTTAAACTACTGCAAAAAAGCAAGTATTGTATATATTTTCTAAAATAATGTAACTGAGAATAAATAGTTGCACAATTGCGGTGATAAACATACGAAAAATCACCTTGATAAACTTGTGAACAATGCTTCTGCTCATTACTGCAGTGACACAGTACACTTTTGAATGAAAGTCAAACAGTTTAAAAATATCTTTTTTTTAGTTGAGTGCTCCCTGAGAGGTACCCTAAATGCAAGTTAAAAAATTTTTTACTGTTAAAAGCAATAAGTAAAAAATGCACTTAGTACTAATTTTCATATCAACTAAATCTTTTGCATTTCTTTTAATGAAAATGTAAACTGCTTTTTCTTTTTAATAATATTTTACTTGATTTTATAAAAAAATAGAAAAAGAAATACATAAGTAATGTAATTTTTTGTTGGTCAATTTTTTTTTTATAATCTTCGTCTGATGGATATCTTAAAAGTCAAGGGCTGATATTTTTCATTAGGTCCTAATTACTAATTGTAATAAATACATGGTATAGAATATTTTCTATCTTAATATTTTTAAGTTAACAAATTTTTTTTGTTATTAAATGATCTCTAATGATTTATAACCTAATTAGAGCTCTGAATAAGGATTTTATTTTAATTTGTTTTTTCTTATGGTTTCAATCATTAATATTTTGAATAGAGGATCAAAAGTCATAAGAAAAATAATTTGATTATAATGTGCTTTTTTGAGCCAACAAAATTTCATTTAAAATCTTCTCTAATTCTTTCTCTTGACGATTCTGTCTTACAAGTATGCAATGATTTTTTTTTTGTTAACTTTTAATTTTGAAATCAAACTGTAAAACTTCAAATTATTGACAAAGTAAAAAAGTTTGATTTTTCAGAGTTTTAGATAAAAAGAGAAACTATTATTCGTCTCCAAGGTAGTGGGGCCTTGAACTACGCCCCGCAAAGAGAATTCTTTAGTCTGGCCCTGTCTATATTGAACCACTTACCATTATAATTGAACCACTAACTGATCTATAACCATGTACAATTTATAATTTGTTTAACTCCCCCTACTGCTTTAAGTTATTTAAAGATTCACTGTAATTTTTTTAATGTATATTTTTATATAAATTTAAAACTCACTGATATAACTTTTGAAGCTTATTCTTCGCAAATCAAAATTAAAGGACTTTTGTAACTATCTTGCTTAGATGTTTTGCCTTGCAATATTTACATATTGTTATTTAGTTTGTTTTGATTCAGATAAAGTGCAAATTTCAGTTTATTGAATTCATGTTGTTTTATGTAACAATTTTGTTTCATACCATTATATCGCTTACTAATTTTTTTCTCTCTCTATTTATAGTTGCAAGTCATCTTCCTTATTTATTTCACATAGTAACATTATTAGTTCATTGTGGTCCTGTATCTCTACGAGCATCCATTCATGGTTTAGTAATAAACATAATTCATTCCTTATGTACTTGTACCAAGCCCTCATTTGGTGGTATGTATCTTTTTATAATTACTTTTCTTGTATCATTTTTTTTCATAGAATAAATAAAATTAAATTAAAAGGGATATAAAATTAAACAAAAATTAATGAAGGATTTTTCGTCAGAAGTGTCTGCTATTCACTTCCAAATTACAGAATTAAAATTTTAAAAAAATTTTGTGTTGGATAAGTGGGACAAAATGTTTTTTTTTTTTCTCTGTTATATGATATATTTCTTTTGACTTCACTACCATTTTTTCACTGTATTGTGGTGTTATATTTTTTATTTTAAATCAAATATAACAATGTATAAATTATTACTATTAATTTCTTGTGGTTCACTGTATATCTTGACATTGCCAGTACATACTGCTCTATTAGACTGGAATTTTTTTAAAAATATGTCTGGAAAACCTGAAAAAGTTGGGGAATTTTGTTCATCTATTTGAGTAGCAACCCTGTATGTAAGATATGAATATCTTATTCTATGTGCATTCTTATTCCCTTTCTTACTTAAAACATGTGTGAACCTGACCTTTCAGCAATTGCTATTCTAAAGAGCAAATACCCTGGGTATATAGCTATCAAAAAAGTATAAAGAGTCATATCAAACTTTATTCAGTCATTTGAAAAGTTATACATAGGGAACAATCTTATACATGACACTCAAATTTAGATTATTTTTTACATGAAATTATCTTTGGGTAAAAGAATTTTATTATTGTGCGCAGAAATTTTTTCTATTTCTTAAAAGCTTCCAAAGATGTGATGAAATAAATAAAAAGTGAAGTTAACATCAAGGGGCCCAAACTTTAAACCATTCTCTCGACTTAACTATTGAGACCATATTTTTTAAATTTCAACTATCTCTTATATTTTGATGATCAAAAATCCCAATCCATTGAGAAAAAAATGTCTGTATATTCAGAGAGAATATAGTTTTGTGTCTGATTCTATAACTTGATAGTTGGCATTAATTAATTAATGTAAGTCACTCCGTTGAATCTTTAAAATTGGCTCTTAGTTTGTGCAAATCTGAGCATTTGACTATGTTATTCTGATAGATATCTTTTTTTCTTCATGTTCAATGTACAGATATATAGCTTAAAACTGTCACATTCAATAAATACTCAAATAATGTAGGTTCATTCATAAACAAAAAGAAAATTTAATTATAGAGAATTAAACAAAAGAAAAAAAAACAAGTTTAAAATCAAGAAAAATATTACATTCAATCATTTAACTATCGGAGTCAATCTTGGATTTTATAAAAAGTGGTTTTGTGATGATGTAAAACAAAAATAAAATTAATTAAAGCTAATACATGTTTTAAAGGATGATATAAATTTTAGAGAGCACCAATTATCAATACTGTCAGATTTAAATCTTGGAAAAAATCTAAAATTAAAGCGATACAAAAAGTTTGCTTTAAAACAGAGATGGTATAATGTTTTTACAATGCCCACTGAAAAATTACATGGGTTCAAAATCAACTTTGAAGTCTAATATAACTTTTCAGTACATGATATCGGATGAGATTAGGCTCTTAGAAGTGCCTGGTTTGAAAAAACAAAATCTATGGCTAAGGGCAGGAGTTAGTGGGCTGTAATGCATTAGGCCTTAATTGCCCAAGAGTAATCCGAAGATGTGTAAGTAAATTTTTAATATTGATCTATCAAGCTAATTTATTTCCTATAAGTTACCTACAAAGTCCAATATAGCTCTGATTTACCAAATTGTCCAATTATCCAGATTGGTGAAGGATCATGTATTTTCCAAAAAAATATTATTTTTTTTCGAAAATGCCTCTTTACTTTTAGAATATGTCAATGAAGTCAAAACTTGCTTTTTTGTCCTTTGGTGACCTTGAAAAGAACCTCACGTTTATTTTGCACAGTTTCAATGTAAGTGATAAGTAGTTTTAATTAAGGGAACAGGTTTAAAATTTTTAGAAAAAATTACAACTTTTGAACACACCATTTGCGACGTGCTATAATAAGAATTACTACGATTCCCAATCCTAAACCTGGGAAAGATGTGAAGTGTAGTTATTTAAAAATATTCTTATCCGTTTTTAAATTTGTCCAATTATCTGTATTTTTCATTATCCGGCTTGGCCTTGGTCACGGGGATAATTAAGATGGATAATTGGTGATCTACATTATAACATGTTGACCATATTGCTAACACCATAATGTCAATTTCTTTGACTATAAATTTATGTACTATTTATTTTTATGATCAAGCTAACTTCTTTATGTTTAAAGTGTTGAGTTATAATTCTGTTGACAAATTTTCCTAACCGTAAGAAACATTTGAAGTTTTTTTTGCTGCAGAAATCCTTTTTTTTTTTTCCTTGATGAAAATTTTTTTCTGCTGCTTGTTGCTTCATTTTTTTTTTTTTTTTTTAAGTTTACAATCTTTAATATTGCAGAAACCCAGCGAGTTCTAAGACTCAGTTTAGATGAATTTTCGTTGCCTAAGTTTTATTTACTTTTTGGCATCAGCAAAGTAAAATCGGCTGCAGTCACAGCCTTCCGTTCTAATTGCCGCCATGTTGATCGCTCATTTGGATGCTCTACTGCAGACAATGAACCTATGCCTCTAGCATCTTTAGAGATAATTACTGATGCCATCCTTGAAATAATGGAGGTATGTTTTGATAAATGAGAAAGCTGATGCATTTTCTCTTTTTTTTTTTTTATGTATGAAACAATATATTTTAAGTGTTTTCAGGCATGCATGAAGAACATAAATAACTGTGACTGGTTACAACAATGGACATCTTTAGCTAAAAGGTTAGTTTAAATTTTATTCATGCTCCCATATTTATATAATTGTAAAAATATGATTGATAAATGTATTGAACCCTTTATGAACAAATTTACTATGGTTATGAATGCACCCAGGAGACTGATTTCCGCACGAGGATGTTATATATACTTCTAATTCTCAGTAAGGAAAAGTAATTGTTATTTCACTCTCTTTTAGACCTTAGATTATGCCTAAAGGCACCTGCAATAAAAATATGTTTGCTCACTTTTTCTTTTTTTGGGGGATTTTAAGATGTTTCATAGCTAATGAGCAGAAACATAAAAAAATGGTGTATTGAATCATTTTCTGAGAAATTTGCAATCCATTAATTCATTATCAAAGGGAAAATGTTTGTTTTGGAAATGCAAAAGTTGTTTTGATAGCTCTCAATTTTTTAATACTCCACAAATTATCAAACCACAAATGGACTGTTTTTTTTTTCTTCACATTTATATTTCACTCTCACCGCCCGCTACAATTAACACTCTTGCTCTCAACTCACTTACTTTTTTTCTGTGATTGCAGTGCCACCTTTGGAGTAGCCAGGCACAACACCTATATTTGGAATTAAAGAGAATTCAACAAAATTTTATCCATTATATTAGAATTAATGGTTCAGTTCAGGCGTTCAAATGGACTTAAAAATAAGATTGTGTCTATCTAATGGCAATTGTGACTTTAAATATTCGTCAGTATAATAGAAGAGTCGTTCTAAGGAGCATAGACATGCATCATAATTACATTTATGTATAGCATAATTTCATTTATTTACTCTTTTTAATAGGTTGATTATTTTTATTCATTCTCTTGGTTCTCTGAAAAATAAAAATGCGGAAACATGCTTTGGATAGAAAAAAAATTATTTATAATTCATGATTATCTCATTTGGATCCAATTATTCATTATTTCTCCTAATTTAAAAGTTGCTCTTTGTAAATAAACTTTTATAATGTTGAGAATTTGTTGATTAATAAGTTTATATAAGCTTTAAAAAGAAATTATAAAATTTAATTACATTTTTTCCTTTATTTGATAAATAATATTATTATTACTGGAATTTTATTGTTTTTTTTTTATTGTTTAGTTAATAGATTATTTATCAAGGTTAACTAGCTTTTGAATTAACTGTTATAGAAAAAAAATTTCCTGCTTTCTTTCTTCAAAAATTATAATGCTTACTTTTATTGATTTTTAGCTTTGCTTTTCGATATAACCCAGCCCTGCAACCCCGAGCTTTGATAGTATTTGGTTGCATTAGTAAGACTGTAAGAGATTTAGATTTGAAACAGTTACTTAGAATTCTTGTTAGAGCCTTAGAATCTTTTCAAGATCTACAACTAATTGAGGCAATTATAATGTGCCTAACTAGACTGCATCCTCTGTTGAGACCTGTAAGTAATGATACAGATTTTCATGCCTTTGTAATGTTTAGTTGATATTTTGATGTAATCAAAAATTATGTATTTGCTTTTAGGAATCTCCAATTCATAGAGCACTTTTTTGGGTTTCAATATCAGTTTTGCAACTTGATGATATGGCTCTATATGCAGCTGGCTTAGCTCTTTTGGAGCAAAATTTACATACATTAGATTCTCAAGGCTTATTTGAAAGTAACGTAAGTAATTAATTTTAACATATTAAACTTTCATATTTTGTCTGCTTAGCCTTTACAATTGAATTGCTTCTAAAATTTTGATTTTTGATAACCTGTCTTTTATTACTACATTATATTATATAATCAGTTTGGTAAAAGTTTATATAGGCAACTATGCAAAAATTTATTAAATCAAATTGACAATAGGAAAAATATAGATAGAAAACCTTTTTCATCAATTGAATATCACATCATTCAGAGGAAGAATTCCTATGGTAATTTTTTTAAAAAACTTATTTCTGAGCATTTGGAAATTTTGACCTTGATTTTTATTTTCTCATACTTTTGTTCAAAACTTGAGCTTTGATATATATTTTGTGTGGTGTTATATAATATACCTGGATATACAATAGTTGAAATATATCATTGTTTAAAATGCTTGTTATTTAATGCACTAAATAAGTGGAATGCTATCACACTAACTTAATTACCTGCCATTTATATCTTTTATTATATATTATCTATTCCCCCTTAGATGAATATCATTTTATTAATGTTGGTTTTATTGTAAAAAGATTTAACTAAAAATTTATTTGCTTTGTTATAAGAAAGTTTTTGCATTCAGAAAACAGTTTAAATCCAAACTTGAGAGGAGTACAGGCATGTGTGATGATATTTTTTATTCTGTTGTGGTACCTGTTGTAAACCCTTACCGATTTATTGGGGAACTTAATAAACTATACAACCCTAAATCAATAGTGAAAATAATCTCTGATCAACAATGGCACATTGAGTAATCATTGCGAAGGATCGAGTTCTATTTTGGGCAGTGGCTTAGAGCCCATTAATCTTTATATTAATGGGTACTAGTCAATGAGAAGTGAAGGTATCTCATTGCTACCCTTGTACTGTTTGTACCTAAATTATGGAGCCTTGGACCCACTTGGCCTACAACTTGCACATTAATCTAATTAAAAATTAATGGTAATTAAAAAAAATTATCTTGAATTTTACTTGGAAAATTTGTTTAATTAGAATAAATGTAAATGAAAGGTTTTAATTAATAAATATGATGTTAAAACATTACTTTGACTGTATAGTTTACTTATCTGAAAAAGAAACTAATATGTAAATTTTTGCGTTTTTGGCACCTTACCAAATAAAAATAACATTTTATCGCCTGAATCCAATCAGATATGTTTTTGCAGAATCCCTTTAACAGATTTAAATGCAAATTAAAGTTATCCAATATAGTTTGCATTCTCTTAATTTGTTAAAAAGCATATACAGTAGGGAACCGATTATCCGGAACGATCGGGACCATCACTATTCCGGATAACTGATTTTTCCGATTTTCTGAATCGCTACAAAAAGCCGTTTTTTTAGTGTTAAACCCAACTAAAAAAAATTTGGGGGGGGAATGATCTTAAAAAGAAGAAAAAACGATGAAGTAATACACTAATGATTATTTCCAAAATGATGGTAAAGTAAACATCTTTCAAAAAAGAAAGAAAAATCCTAAAATCTTATGAGGAAAAAAAACATTTTTTTAAAAAAATGGCAGGAAAATTTATCGAGTTTCGTTCCGGTTTTTTTGGTTTTCTGATTTCCGAATAACAGGTTCTGTACTGTATATTCTAAAATAAAAACTTTTTCACCAACCAATTATATCAATCTATGTTTAATTACCAATTAATAAATGTAATTTTTTTTTTCTTCTAGACATTAGAATTCATCATGATGTCCAGTAGGGAACCTTTAGAATGGCATTTTAAACAATTAGATCATTCTGTTGGCTTAAGTTTCAAAACCAATTTTCATTTTGCTCTTGTCGGTCATTTAATCAAAGGTAATTTATTCTCAATTTTTTTTCTACCCTTTCTAAATATGAAACATCAGTATATTTTTAGTAAAAGACCCATTTATTAAAAGCAACTTAGATACTTGCTTTTACATATTTTAATTGCAAGCAGCATTTTTTTTCTCCTTTATCTAAGGGTTATATTTTCATTTGCCTGTAAAACATTTCTTTTTTATATTTTAAACCATTGAATAAAATGGACAGTTTCAAGAAAAGTTAAGAACCAAGAAAGAGCTTTGCTTTTGTATGACTCTTAAACTGAAAATTCATCTGCAATCACGCGGGTACTTCTCCAACAATATTCAAATTTACATTCCCCTTTTTTTTTTTTGAAAGGTGCATCTATTGCCAATAACTTTGAAAAATGATTGCGCTATTTCTAAATGACTCCAAAACATATTTCACGATTGTCTCACAATACCTTTAATAATTTTAAGCAATTGCTAATGCACTGTGATATTTTAAAAAATATTTTATCATTATTTCTGTTGAGGAAAAACTGTAATCGCATTTATTTGAAGCAGTTTTCTTCTACGTCCGCATGTTATCAGAATATTCTGATTGGCCGTTAACTTTTGAGCCCCGGAAGGCTATAAATACCAGTAACTCTGTTTATCTGATGTTCTTTCCTATTTCTACTGCCCCAGTGTATGTTCCAACTGTGTAACTCTCTGAATTTCATTACATCAACAATTTCTGATACTATTCTATTCTTCAAAAATTATTTCACTCTTTAAGTTCTAAAAAGAAAAGTGAAAAAATTACTCAGTAAAGGAGTACATTAAGCACATTTATAATGATATAATAAACAAAGCATTTCATTTTGCTCGCTAAATCCGAAATCTTGCTAAATGCCAGCTTCTTTTATGTGAGTTCTGCTGTATATTTATTTAACCTAAATTTAACTGTGTATAATAATGTAATTAGCAATTGCATTTTACAAATATCATTACAAAAGGTATCTGTGTGCTGAATTTAGTAGCATAATAGATATTTTATTAGGTCAAATTATATAATTTATTTTTAAAAAAAAATATTATAAGGTTTTGGATACCTTTTTTAATTATTTTTAAACTTAAAAAAGGTATCCATTAAAAAGACTGTTAAAAAGGTGATTATTAAAAATGTAAATATATTTTATCAAAAAGGTTGTTTAGCATTATTGCAAAAAAATTACTTACAGGTATTTTACAATTTTAAATAATTGTTTTGTGTTAAATACTTTTATTTGTTATATTGGCTGTACATAGTCTTACTTGAAATATTTTTAAAAAATAAACATCACTTATTAAAAACTAAACATTGCTCATTTACCATTTAATGGTTATAGAATAATAATTTAATGTGTTTATCATATAAAGCTGTATTATAGGGTAATATGGAGATAGAATACTTTATACAGTATCGTTCGATCAATTGTTTCTTAAGGTACCATTCATTGGGAATGGTAGATGTTGGAAAACGACAAATGGTGGTAAATATAAAATATAAAATAATGACTTAAAAATGATAAAAAATAATAAAGAAGTAATGAAAATAAATACATTTACAATAAATATAAAAAAATTTAATTGACAAATTATGTACTTAATGCATAAATATTTATGATGCAAAAAAAGGATGAATAAACATTTATTTAAAATATAGGAAAATTTTGGTTTGAAGATACTCATTTCTTCTTAATGTAAGCATTAATTTTTCAACCTTTGTAGCAGATTGCTTTTCATTTTTTGTAAGTTTGTGTGAAAACAGAAAGTTACTGATTACTTCGAAGGTGCTAATGTTGGTAATGGTGTGGTTGTGTTTTTCTGTTTGTGTGGTTGTGTTCTTCTGCAACCTTATTTTGAACCAACTGCACCACAAGTTGTAGCATTTTTATCAATTGATGTACAAATAGCAAATGTAATATTTGATGCGTTATCCCGAAATTGTAACAAATTCTCATTTTCTCCTTCATCATTAAAATCAGGAGTTACAGGTTTTCTTCTCTTAACCAAATAACTTCACTGTTTTTTTTTTTGGTTTTTTTTTCTGCTGTTGGTAGGTTTTCTGAATGTTAAGCGGAGGTATCTACTTGTTTCAAAAGTTATCTAAACGGGATATTATTAGCACTTTAAGAGTGGCGTTTGTAACGGGACTGTGAAAACAACACAATACGAAAGATGCAAGAACAATAGAGGAAGCTTTGACTGTAATATGATACAAAATTACTGCTTTTATTTTCAAGCCTTTAATTTTTAATAAGATTGTTACTATTATTCATGATTGTGCTGAGCTGACAAAATGAATTAAATAAAAACAATTAAAAATAGCTGTATCTAATAGCTTCAACAAATGTTTATTAATTATATCTATGATCAAAAAAGAAAAGAATAAAAAATACTGTTGAAGAGGTAATTAAATAACTAACAGGTAAGTACTGTTATAACTTTAATTAGCTTTTTATTGACATTTGTTAAAGATTCATATGAATTTTCTGCCCTATGAGTCATCAACAACATTGAAAAGTAGTCAATACCATTACCTTTTTAAGAAATGTAAAGAAATTTTGTTATTTTGTAGATCAAATCTAACCTGTATCTAAAACTAATTATCATAAAAAAAATTATTGCAGACATTTTGCAATGTGTAAAAATTCTTCAGAATAAGTTATGTATGGAACAGATTCTTTTGAACTACGTAATTGTTACTAAAAATAATGTTTGTATGTATTTAAAAAAATTCTTATATTAGTTAATGTTTTTCATTTTCTTAAACTTATAAATGTTTTTCTTTCCCAGGATTCCGTCATCCAACACCAACTACTGTATCTAGAACCACTAGAGTATTAAATACTATACTGGGAATAGTAGCTAAGCCTCATAAGCGGTATATCCTACATTTTTAGCTGATGAATCTTTAAATATCTATAGAAAATGTTAAAAAGCTTTAGCACCTTTTTAAATTTATTTTGTTAATGTAATGAAGCTTTTTTGTTTTATATACAGTGTGGTTCAAAACTATGTGTCAAAAGTAAAAGCAGGCAGAGGAGACTTAAATATGCAGATTTTGTATAGGAATGTGTGTACGATAATGTTGTTTTAAAGCGTGTAAAGAATGTTGATTAGTATGGCTTATAAAAGTGCTTTTTTGGCTGGATTCTCCATATTTCACATGGATTTCGAACAGTATGCATTGTTACACCAATGCAAAGCTTGCCTTGCATGTTGTTGCAGGGCTGCCACAAGGAGACTTAAAGGCGACTTTTTGCTACTTTTTTTGACACTAGGCGACTTTAGCGACTTTTTTAACTAAAAAGAGGCTAATAAGCGACTTTTTTTGACAACTGATACTTTTTTGGAGACTTCTTCTTCTTGCGGTTGCTTTTTTTTTCCCAAAATAATTGGATAACTTCTTTTTCCCCCCAATATTTCTAGCAATCTCGCCAATTGCAACACATGTTTTCCTGATCCCGCCATCACTT